ATGAAGATAAGTGTCTCAGTGCCACCACACAAAACTGGACAAACACGCGAACTTAAGAAAACTTGTGACACTGAGAGCATGACTTTAACTTTTTACTGACAACATAACCGAAAATTCAAACTGTAAAAACAAAAACGAACATTTCCGTGCGATGATAACAGCGCGATTACGTAACCGGTCTGTCGCATACGGAGGCTTATCGCCGCCGCCAACAATGACCGCGGCTACGCAACGCACCGATACGCAACGCACGAAAATGATAAAACGAAACGAAAACGAATACAACAACATGACATATAAACATATAAACGCGAACAGAGGAAGTTACTTTTTTTGGATTTGATCTAGTAGTCACATTGTTTTTAAGTTAAAAATATTCAATTACAATTAATTATAGAAGTTACTTTTTTTCAAAAATTTTTCTAAGGTTTAATAATCATGTTCACTATTTCAATGAAATAAATAAGACATAAAATATGTATAATAACATATTTTATTGATAATAAATTAAATGTAAAATTCATCATTCATTCCTAAATGTAAACATTTAAAATAATAATTGGGACCTCTGAAAAATTGATTACAGCCGGTTAMAAAAATCCAATTAAAATAATCTTACTTTAATAAATTTATCCTTTTTAATAATATCAAAAGTAGTTTTCTTTATGGTAATTTTTATTTTTGCAGTACAGTTTATATTTTTATATTTTCTTCTTTCATTTTGTGCTGTTACAACTTTTCTATAATTACTATAATGACAAGTATAATATATTATAGGTACTAATTATCATAATTTATACATAAATACAAATTTAAATATATTATAGGTATTGATTAAAGAATAAACTATAAAATTGGCTACCAATTAGCTATATAAAATGAATTATTTAATTTGATCAAAGCTTCACTGTTTTGATTAGTGTTCCTTACTTGCTATGAAGTATTTTATAAGTCGGAAAATTCATCAATCCGTTAGTCATTAAGTTCAAAATTATTTATGTTAAAATGTATAACACAATTACTTCTCTAAAACTTATAATGATATTTTTAAATGTTGAAGGTAATTGAACTGGAGATTTACTGTGATTGTATTCATTTTAATATCTACTTATTAATATGTAATAGTGAGTAAAAGAAAATAATAAAAAAACAATTTAAGTACAAAAATGTTTTCAAACTGTTTTAAGAGAATATGATATAAACATTATACTAGTTACAACCTAATAAATATATTTTATGATAGTTTTGGTATTAAAGAAATGAATTTTACAATTATTAATACAGTGGGATTAATTATTTGTATATATGTATTTTTATATAAATCCAAGATCCTAACATATAAATTATAAATACATTTGTTGAACATTTCAAGTACTTATGGTTGTTTGTTTATTATTTCTAACACAATATTATCAGAATTAACTGTGGGTAAGTTGTTAATTTATGTTTGATATACTATGTCAAAAAAATGAGTATTTAAAAAGTTCAAATGTTTGTAAAAATTAATGTGATTGACTTAGCTGTTCAGTAAACTTTTTTTTAAAATTCTTTTATAGGTAGGAAAACTTATGTGTTTTTTATTACACCTTTTAAGAAAAAGAAAATTGTTTATGGATTTCTAACTACAAAATATTTGCACTTTTTCTCATTTTTTTTTTCGAATTTTGACTAAGTTCTAACTTTAAAAGTTTAAAGGCTTATTAAAAAACATGGTGACTGTACTTCTAGCTAGATAGAAGCAGCAAGACATAAAATGACTTGTTTAATGTATGATAAAAACGTCTAATAAAATAACAATAATAATTAGCACGTATATAATCAGTTTTTTTATTATATTTACATGCTCATACATCACGTAATACAATCAAAAATTATAGTACAACGTCAATATTTTCTACAACAATCATACCAAATATTATACAATGTTGTAAAAAGAATAATTATCGCTTTTAGCGTGAGAGCAGTACATATTATAAAGTTAGTTGTAAGAACTACACATAACATAATATTATAGAAAAAAAATACACAAATACATGATTGTATTAACGTGCATTCAAATATTAAAATAAAAATAAAAAATTGACTCTCAACTGGAATCCTCTCACGTTATAAATTTTATAAATACAAATGTCCAAAATTGTTGACGAGGATGGAAACGATAATCATCATAACTATATAAAATAATAATAATATGGCCACCACCACCGTGGCGCTTCAAATTATATTCATTCATTAGTACCGTGATACATTGGGTATAATACGAATTAGCCGGCAAGACAATCTCAATCATTATACCACATACAGTACGTTTTAATATAAGCTCGTCTTTCAATAGGTATCTTTAATGCGCCCACAGCAAATTTATACCTATTTATTATAAAAACATTTGTAATGTATAGTAATACAATAACAATACAACTAATAATAATGATAACAATAATTAAAAACTACTCTTCATCAAACTATAAGATAGGCACAACTGCGTTGGGTTAATAAAATCAACACCTAAGTGACGATGATAATAGAAATAATAATAAATAGTAATAATAATAATAATAATAATAATAATAATACCTAATAATGATAATAATAGTTATAGGTAATAGGTACATAAAAATCATTTGCAATTGAAAACATGTTATTAATTGTGAGCGCAGTGACGATGGTATAGGTTTTGACAAGGAAAATAAAACAAATAATAATGAGAAAAAATACGATTAAACAATGAAGACGTGCGAGAAGCAGCGAGAGGAATGTCTTCGAGCAGCGGCAATAATGTTGGATTTGGAGTTATTGTTGTTGAGCGTCGGTAGTGTTTGAAGGTGGCGCCTTGAGCAACAGGTCACCAAACTGGAGCAGAGCTTCAGTTAGAGAGTCCGTGACCTGAGGTGACGAGCAACATTGTTGAGTATAAGGTACACACCTCACAAGGGACGGGTAGAGTCTGATCAACTGGTCCCACACGGCTTTACTGACTAATGAAAAAGAACCGAAAATTCAAATAGATTAGAGCAAAAATTAATTTGACATTTCAAAATGGTAATTATTGTAAGTTGATGATATGAGACTGTGATGGATCCAAAAAGGGAGGGATGGGAGCAAAGCACATTTGTTTAATCAAACATAATATTGAAAATAATTATACTTGGTTTTATTTTATAAATAAAGATAATGGACTTAGCAAATAAAGAATAATTTATCACATTTAAGACTTATGTAATAATAGGATTTGAATAATTAATAAATATGTGAAAACAATGAGGCGTTGTTTAGGAAGAGAACTTGTATGCTGCATTGTGAAGAATAGAATACTATATATAAGGCCTTCAAAATAATCGATGTACAGGGGTATTGTTTAAACATATTCATCTCCATTTTTCCCTTTAATAATAATTTTATTCAAATTCTGATTTATAGAATTTTTAAGTATACCTAAGAATCATAATTTCAAATTTCTGATATTTTTTRTGCTATATAAAGAGTGTTTTATGGCTATACAAAGTACAAACTTCTATTTTTTAAATGAGAGAACCCCCTCTTTTTTACTGTAAATTATTTAGCAGTTAATTTTATTGAAAATCTAAATAAAAATTCTAACGTACAGTTTCTGACTTATTAAAAGGTTTATCACTAAGAATTATAATTCTTAAATATGATTTTACAAAAATATAAACTATATGTAATATTAGAAATACTTATTTTAATTTTATTTATTTATTCATTATACTTAGATCAATTTTAGAAATTATTTATATTAATAAGTCAATAGAGTTATAAGTAATCACTAACATTTTCAAATTATCTAAGCCTCCATATCTACTTAACCCATTACCATAGACACATTATCATTAGTACACAAAGTTATATAACTTGAAAACTATTAATTAAAATTCTGATTACGATACATCAAAAAACCTAAAAAACAAATTTATCAGCTGATTATTAAAAAGTGAAAAGGGGAAGTTCCTATTTGAAAAACAGAAGTTAGTACAGTTTCAGCCATTAGTGGTACAAAAAATTTTAAGTACCTATTCAAAAATATAGTCTTCAAATGTATTTAAAAACTCCAAAAATKTATAATTTAATTTTTGTGTAAGTTAAGTTTAAAAATAGCGTGAAGATGCTTAAAAAATCACACTGTATTGTCATAATTTACATATTGTCATAATATCGCATAATGTACAGTCTTAAATAACATTTTTATTTATTTATTTAATCGTTAAGAGGAGGCCACACCCAAATGTATTGGTCTCCGTCGTACAAGTGCTCAACATAAAAAATTTTACGCTCAGCAGATCACGTTTAACTCAGTTAGTTTAAAATTTAGAATGAACTGACCTATTGTAAAAATTAAAGGCAAGATTATTATATAGGGCATCTCACATAGGCTTTTTATTATATTTTAATTTTAATTTTTAATAAGAGGTCAATTCACTCTAAATTTTAAAGTAACGAAACTAAACTGATCTTTCGACCGTAATGTTTACTATGTTACGAACTTGTAAGGCGGATACAACACAAGCTGTTGTAGCGTCCTCTTAAAAATATGTTTTTTTCTTACCTTTGTCGGGAGTTTTTTTCAATGAAACAATGAGTGTAGCGATTGCTTTCAGAACAAATGATATTTCCGACATACGATACCTACATAAAAAAAGTATATTAATAATTTTTGGCACTAAAAAATATAATTTTTCTTGTTAGTATCTTTTAAAATACAATTTTAAGCATTATTATAATATTAAGAAATTAAATTAAATAACAATGTAGATTATTGGTCTACAATACAAGATTTTTAGATGAGGCAACTTTTGATCATTAGTATAATAAGTTCAAATAAAAATAAAAATATTATATATTTATTTTTCTCACTTTAATTAGGTAGATAACGAATTTATCGATGAAGACAACGAAAAAACTCTTTTCGGCCATTTTATAAAATTTTAAATAAAATGTTTCGGATTAAATTTTAAGTACTTATATATTTTGAAAAATATTACAGTATACTTAGAAGCATATTATTAGGATTTTTTGTGCATGTATATTCCTTATTATTATTATTAATGACCACTGAGTGAGTTATTTTAAATAGATTTTAAAGTCAAGGTAGAACACATACAAGAACAAACATATAGTGTAATTTAAATCTATTAATGTTCAGTATTTATTGGAGATTTAATATCGACCTGGGTAATGGACACTTTCCGGTCAAACTTTGATCGTGACAGAATTTCTCAACAACTTCCTGGAATCTATGCAGCAGCGCCGTAACAGCAAGTTTGCCAGTAATCAGTTCAGCGTCCGCGTTGGAATCGTTACCACCGCTGTTTGCCGCGGTATCCGTCGGGGGAGGTGATGATGACGATGATATGCCATCTACCAATGAAAACTGCAACAGCGTTTCAAAACAAACTTTGGCGAACTGTTCTCGCAAGAGGGATGGTGGCGAGAAACCGCCAACACCTGACCCCGCAACACCACCAGAGACGCCTCCGTCACGGCAATCCACCATCATCATCGAATCATATCCTACGATAAATACAGGTTAAAGTACAAGAAAACAAGACTATTAATTGGGCAGCACGCAAATGAAATCGTTTTTACAGATCGTCGAATTACAACGTCTACTTGTATATATTATATTTATTTTAAACAAAAACACGTAGGTACCTCCGCCATACGGATAGTTGGACAATGTCGATGCGGTGGTGGTGGACAATACTGAGCCACGGTTTAGCAACACTACCACTCGCATGATGAACTCTCGAGGAACATTAGTTGACTGTGACAATATTTCGTCTTTCAGGAATTCCACCAGCTGACAGTCGATTATCACGGAATCGTTCTCGTCGTTGTCGTCCATCAATTTATTGCTTTTCAACATCGAGGATGCTGGGGGCAAGCTGTACATATCATAAAAGAGCAAAAACAAACGAGTTAGGTACGAACAACAAAACAACACATTTTTCATAAATGCGTAACAATAAATGTGTAATAACGAACTTTTTCGGGAATAATATGTCTTCCAGAACAGAACCAAGTGGTGACCAGATAGAAATATAATCGTCCCCAGCACAGTCTCGAGCCAACGGCACACCCACCGAAAGCACGTTCATTAGGCCGACCACCAGTAGTTTCCATGTGTTTTGTTGCTGTTGTTGACGCCGTCGCACTAACATGAGGTGCTGCTGTTGCTGCTGCTGGACATGTTGCTGTTGCTGCTGTTGAGTACTTCCTGACGACAAGGGAGTCGCGTCCATATGGTAATGGAATGCCGGAGCTGACGACGGGTAGGAGGAGTATCGGCCGGCCAGAGGAACAGAAAATACCTGCGTTCGGAATGAGCAAAACTATTATCAACCTCGGAAGTTTAAATTTAAAAATGTACTTATTAGCGCTTCACATTATATATTCAGAAATTAAAATATGTAAATTAATTGTTTTAAGTTAAATACAGTATATAAGTAATCAGCACTTATCAATTCATTGTATGTTTGAAAAATTGAAAATCTTATTTAAGATCTACTTAAATAAAAAATGTAATTATTTTGATTTAGTTAAAGTAAAATATTTAAAGAATTAAATACAATTGTTAGCATATTTTATTCTTTAATTATTTAAGATATGCCTACTAAAATTACATATAGGTAAATCAAATGATAAAAAAGCGGGAAAGTGGATATCGCTCTGCTGTACAGCAGGTTACAAGTGGGTTACTGTAATGGATGGAATTAAATTTGAATTCAATAATATTATATCATTGTATACATAAAACGATTCTGAGCGGAAACGGTTTATCTGTATAGGATATATTATAGATTATTAAAAATTTTCAAATCTTAAGATTTAAAAAGAATAACTTTTATGAATTTCTAACAAAGATAATTTGAACATTGCCGTAATTTTTACGTATTAAGTCAAAATTTGAACTTTAAATGCTTATAAAAAAAATCGTGTCTATATTTTTCAACGGCTATTGTTACAATGTGTTAGAAGTCTTATATTACATTTTCAAGCATTTCTACCCAACAAATAAATTTTTATCGATATTTATAGAAAAAATACCAAAAAAGTTGAAAAATTAAAATGTCAGTAAACAGCTTAAAATAAATCTAAATATTTTGAAAATTATATCAAATATATAAAATGTCTATATAAACATTCAGTGAAAATTTCRAGTATCTGCGGTCATTTGTTTTAGAGTTACACCAAAATAAGAAAATCACTAAATGTGAAATCCAGTGAAAATCAAATGTTGAAAAAATTTAAATTTCAAATGCTCATWAAAATTTAATTTTAATTTCCGGTGGACATTTTGTATGTGATAGATTAACAAACTTTTAAGGAATCTTGTATTAAAGTTTCAAATCTTAGATTTAAAAAAAATTTTTTTTTATGAATTTCTTGCTTAAAATAATTTGCGAATTTTCATGATTTTTMCGTATTTTGTCAAAATTCCAACTTTGAATGCTTATAAAAAAATTGTGACTATGAATTTATTTTATTTTTTAACTGCTATTGTAACAATATGGTAGGAACCGTGTATTAAATTTTCAAGCTTTTMTACCCAACAAATAAATTTTTATTGATATTAATTTAAAAAAAACTAATAATGATCAAAAATTGCATATGCCTATGAAAAGTTCAACTTAAGTCGAAAATTTTTGAAAATTGAATGGTGGATAGAATATACTTATATAAACATTCGGTAAACATTCTGTTAAAACATTTCTATAGTCTATACGACACTGTCAATAAGAAACCCAAATTATTACTACAGTTTTCTATTATGTTTACAGAGTACCAATTCAAATAATCAATGTCTTACGCACACACCGTTTAACTTTATAATTACAATTTACCTCAATGATTCGCCTCAGAATTTCGCCTTTCACAACGCACGTTTCAGCCGCTGTCATCCCATACAAATCGACAATCATGAGCACTGCTTTCTCACCAAACGCTACATAATTTGAATCAACCGCTACCGCCGCAGCGAACTGTATTAAACATGAATGATAAATTATATTAAAAATAATAAAATAAAAGATAAATACGTACCTTATTATGGTGATGGAAGTGGTCGACCGTCGCTGCACCATTTGTCATTTGCTGTCTATCGCCACCGGTGTTGGGTGTAGAAGGTGGTAGCGGAGGACACACGAAGCGACAGAATTTCAGCAGTTGATCGAACAGAGGACACAGAAATCTCTGGACCAACTCATGTCGATGTTGTTGCTGTTCCATCGACATTATCGAGATTTTCTTATCTATGTAACCTATGTCACTACTTGCCGTCGCGTTACCAGCGGAATTAGATGTTGATGTACCGCCAAATTCATCGTCGTCAAAAATCAATGTTTCTCGTTCCAACGTTTCCAGACACTGTAAAATCTCATCTTGTAATCGGGTCAACTGTTGCTGACTATAGCTACCACCATAGTAGTTCTGTTGTTGCAGTTGTTGTTGATGGTGATAGTATTGATGGTTGTGATCAGACAGGACCACAGCCGCTGACCCGTCAACAGCGGCTGCCGCATCCAATACTCGGAAAAGATCGTTTAGATTTTGATCGGTAAATCTTAAAATGCAATATTAAGAGAATGGTGAAAAAAATTTGTACAATAAAGGTTGTTTTTTAATACACTTATTTTTAGAACAAACCAGTGATAAAAGTAATTTTTTTTATTTTTGTTTTTATTTTAACAACAAATACATATATATAAATAAATTCAAACTTATAAACTCTCTAAGAAAAGATTGTGAAAATGTAGATATTTTCAATAAATGAAAATTGCTCTGAGATTCATAAATCACTGCAAAATAATTTACAAATTTTCATGAATTAGTCAAAATTTGAACTTCTAACTTTAAAGCAATAAATATACTATACAAATAATTAATGAGGAATTTGATATTACATTTTCAAGTTTTTGGCAACCAGAATATGAAAATCTAATCAAAATTAATTGAAAAATTCTAAAAAATCTTATTAAGCTAGAGATACTGAAAAATGAATTATGACTAAAAACTGCTGTTACATAATTTGGTAAAATTTTGATTTTCACTATTATTCATTTTTCAATTACAATAAAAATTAAAAATTAAATAAGTTTTGTTAAAAACTGATGGTTTTTAATTATTCCCGATTTTTTATACTTTAGTTAAATTTTTTACTTCACTCTTTCGATCCGTACTCAAAAAAATAAAATTGTATACCACTACCCAAGTTGGAGATTGAAACATTTTTACCTACTGCTAAACATTGTAATAACAGACACAAAATAAAATTAATGAACACATATTACTGTAAAACCTATATACATATTATATTGATTCATTTATAATCTAAAAAAAGTTTTTGACATGAATATGTTTTTGGGCTAGATACATATTTTTTATTTCTGACCGATTTTCGGTAACTTACTAACCAAAACATTTATGATTTATAGATTTTCCTTGTAAAGCAAAAATGTTGAATGGCATACTTTGAGATTTTTTTTATTGAGTCAAAAATCCCATTCACTTTCTCTCATTACAAAAAATAATATCTAAGAATAACACAGCATAAAACAACGAAATAAGAATATCCCATAACACTCAGTGAAACTAACCTGTTTTTAATGCGTGTGAATATTAATGGAAATATTTGCAACAGGGCCGTTAAAAATTTCTGCTTGTGTTGTAGAGATTGATGATGCTGCTGTATTGGATATTCGCGACGACGGCGGTCCTCCGCCCCAGCTGTTGACGAGCCGCTACTTGTCGTCGTTGTCTGAGGTGGGTTAATGGGGCTTTCGACCACGGTCGTTTCAGTGGCGGCCGTTGCGATTCGCATCCACACAGTCCATGTAGTTGTCCATATCTCATTTTCCACCACTGCAGACGTGGTCGATCCACTAACTCTGTTTTTACTTTGCCAATCCTCTTCTCGATGTGCCCGATCCATGGCCGCTGTATTTTTATCACTTGGCGTCATATTTGTACCATCACTAACGTTATTGGAGCTGCTATACACCATTAAGAGTTCGTGCAACGAACGCAACCCTGCCAATGATACCTAAAACAAAATACAACCAATTAGCGAGTATAAACTAAACGGTTTTACGAAAATAAATAAGCTCCTGCACATTACTTCATTGGTGGTTAGTCTTAAGTTAATCTAAATAAGTATGATTGAGATAAACTAAAACGTAAAAGTGTAAATTAATTCATTTAAATCATTCATATGGCTACGCTTTAAAATGCTTCTATATTGTATGTTATTTGTTCCATGAGATAGTTACCTACTATGTTTAATTTATTACTTTTGTATGTTTCATAATATTTACACTATGGCATAGGTGGCTAACCTTTTTTGGGTCAACTGCCAAATTTCAAATCCAGTTTTTTGAAATATGCTCGAGTGCCAAAAAAAAAAAAATGGTTCTTACTAGGTAAGATGAAAATAAAAAGTATGCAATAATTAAACACATTTTATTAGGTATACATTGATTTGTAAATTTTTATATAATTTATTAATGTGATTTCTGTCGTTGTTTTTTAAAGGACAACATTTTAATGTCCGAAGTATAGTTGGTAATTTTCAGTGAAACACAAGTAGCACTAATTTCATCGATTAATATATTTCTTTGCTTCGTTTTTATTAAATTCACTACGGAGAATAAACTTTCACGAGCATAAGTTGACGAAAAAATTGATAGGATAGATTGAGCCACATTTTTTAATGTACTAAATGTGTTTGGAAGTGAGTTCCTGACTTTAAGAATTTTAGTATCTGCATTTTTTACGTTTTCTTGAAGACTTTCTTCGATTAAATGTATTAAATCAATACATTTTTGTTTCCACGTATTACATCTAATTATATCTAATTCGTCGAAGTTGCAAGTATCAGGGAATTTGAGAAACTTAATATTACGTTCAAACTTTTTAAATCTATAAACCTATTATTGAATTGCTGAATTGTTTCCATTATAATACTTAAAAAATTATTTATATTTTCAACTAATTTAGGAGTCTTGTGGATTTCAATTTCACACAGGAATTTGTTTAAATTTTGAAAATATCTAAATTTATGAATTTCTATATCACGTATAAATATATTTAATTTTGTTTCAAAGCTTTTTATTAAACTAAACGTGAAATCTAAATTTTTTCCGGTACCTTGTAATTTTAAATTGAGTTCATTTAAATGCAAACAAAAATCAGTAAAAAACATTAAATTACACAGTCAATTTATATCTGTTAATTCAATGTAATTTTTTTGTTTTCAAACAAAAATAATAGGATTTCGTGTAAAAATTCTACAAATCGTTCTAAAAGGTTGCCTCTACTTAGCCAACGAACATTATTGTACATCACGAGTCTTTTATGAATAGAATTTACATCTTAGAATAATAAACTAAATTGCCTTTTATTTAATGCTCGGGAGTTTATAAAGTTTACAATTTTTGTTACAAACTTTAAAATATTTTCATACTGAATTAATCCGTTCTTAGCACATAACGCTTCCTGACGAATAATACAACGAAACTCAATTAAAGGATGTCCAATTTTCTTTGAAAAAAGGTTAACAAAACCACGACCTTTTCCAATCAATCAAGGGGCGCCATCGGTAGTTACTGATACAATTTTAGATAAATTTAATCTAATATCTTCAAGAACATACAATTTTCACCGAATCTAGGTAAAAATGTCCGAGGAAAAAATGTCCACAGTAAAAATGTCCGGGGTAAAATTGTCCAAAAACAAAAATGTCCATGGTAAAATTGTCAAAAAAAAAAATATAATTTAATTTACACAAATATTACCTAATTAAAATTTATAAATGTCAGTGATAAACATTTTAAAAAGTTGTCAATACTTTTTTCATTATTAGTGTACTCCTCACATACTTTTTTTAATTTTAATCAAAAATAGGATAAAATAATATGTACAGGTTAAATATAATATTATACACAGTATACCTACATAATAGTAGAACTAAATGCGCATTTACAACATTGACTATAATAATATAAAAAAAAAAAATATTAATTARGTGTTACCWAYGTATAATACGTTGTAACAAAATTGTCTCGATAATCTTATCGTAATTACCGTTACAATTTGATGTTAATCACAAATTAGGTAGGTAGTTATAAATATCTTCAGGTATTCACAGTCATAGTATAGAAAATATACCATACAGGGTGTTTTTTTTGAAATGGATAACGATCAATCAATTTTTCGATTTTGGAAAATTTACCATGGACATTTTCACCGCGGACATTTTTGATTTTGGACATTTTTTTCGGACATTTTTACCGTGGACATTTTTGTATAATACCATTTTCACCAGTAGTTTTAGCTGGTATAGATTCTAATTTTATAAGTTCTTCACAAACATCATCATTAACACAGAAACGAGAAATTATTGAAAGACATGCAGACGATGTTATATCTGTACTCTCATCGATGCTAACGGAAAAAATAAACTTTGATTTAAATCTTTAATACGTCGTATAATTGCATCTTTATTATCATAGTCGTTAAAAAGGTTATCAACCAAGACATTTTGATAAAATCTCCATCATTAAACGGTTTTCCCCGAATAGCAAAAGACTTTGCAACATCAAAACTGGCAGACACTAAATTATCAGATTTTTTAACAAATTTAATTAATTTATCACTTTGTGTATTTCCATTTGATATTTCACGTGAAATAAAACATTTTAGTTCATCGGCAGATTTTGTTAAAAGTGTTTTATGAATAGTTTTAAAATGACGTTTGACACATAAAGTTCGACATACAACACCATTTTATGAACACAGTACACTTAACGCTATATTATTTTTCAATACCATATTTGAATGTCCACCATTCTTGAAAGTTTCGTCTCATTGATTCTTCAGAACATTTATCATTTTTTTTTTTTTTTTTGAAAATGACAAATTGATAAAAATATACTAGTGTTATATACAACAAATAATCAAAGTTCAAGACGGGTAACTAAATTATAGGTTTGTTTAAACGGTTGACAAATGTGCAATTGTTATTATCGCAACCGGTCGCGGTATTGAGAAATTAAAAATAAACTTCGTATTCGAATGTTGGGTACTTTGTACTTCTATCGTAGCGATAAGAGTACAAAAACCATAAATATTATTCATTATAACATTTATAAACACATTTTCTTACCTATTATTACAGGCTTATACATTTTTTCTTAAAATTTCTCATACTAAAGTTTTAAAATAAATTTTTTTTTTAAATAAATATTTTATTAAGTTTTGAAATTCAGCGTGCCACTTCTGGMACGCGTACCATAGGTTCGCCACCCTTTCATTATGGTATGTTTGTAATTCGTAATAAATCGCTTGTTTTCTTCTAGTTGTCGATTACTTATAATAATGTAACATTTATTAAAAAATTTAGTTAAAACTGAAAGATATTGAATATTTAATGCATATCATAAATGTTTTATTTTGTGACTTAAGATGGAAAAAAGAAGCCAAAACTTTAGTGCTTATAAAGTATAGATGTAGATACATAAACGATGGGATAAAATATCATGTATAAAATCTGATTCATTGTGGAAACAGAAACAGTTAAGTTGGAAAAGTCTGGAACACAACCAATTTAATAGCAATAAAAGCTCTGTTCACCGTTATCCTATGGAATAATTGAATCGGGAATTTCGAAAAGGGCTCATATCTGAAAATTAAAATTTTTTAAGAAACTTAAAAAAACTGATTGTCTTTTTAATTTTGTTTTTATTGAACCGTTTTTTTTTTTAAATTACAGACTATTATTTAATGTTAAGCTCATGTAATATATTATTCTTGAAGTGAAATTTTATAGGAAAAGTGATTCGTTAAGTTTTCTGAAATCTATTTTGGTAAAAATTCGAGATGGGCCCTTTTCGAAATTCCCAATTCAATTTAAAAAAAAAAAGATATTAATTATCAAGTGACTGCGGTAAATTCTAATTAAAAGGAACGGGAAGCGGGGCCAGCCAAAAATTGAATGATTTATAGTCTGTCTGAAGTAAAATCTCTAGACCTTATTAATATTCAAACAATCAGACGGTAAGCAGAATTTGATTGTGATTTAAGTGATAAATTTTGTTAGTTGTGTTTTATGTTTTTATTCAAAACATTAATTTTTTTAATATTATTAATCTTAAATCTTAAAGAAAATTATATTTTTAACAAGCACATATCATAACTTCAGAAATAGTTTTTGATTCTCTATCTAATAGAGCATGGTAGTAATGACGTCAAGATAACTTAATCACGTATTGATTAGAGCGCCTGGTTCCAAACAATACGATTCTCATACAAATAATACGATATTGTTTTAATTTTATCATTTAGGCAGCTCTAAGTCCGATTAAAATCATATAGGTATTCACTAAAATTATAAAATGAAAAAAAGGTTGTTTGGAATCAAGAGCCTTATTAGGATTTGATGATAATGAGCCGTGACGTCACCATACGTCTATCATACTCTAATAGATCCTGGAAAAAATCTCTCTAAGCGTTATAAAAAAACTATTGATTATAACTATATACGCATCTACAGATCCTTCACAGGTAATTAAGAATTTCTAATTATTTATTGATATGATAGGTCATAATTTATGATGGGTATTAAATACAAAACAATTGTGGGTAAACCAACCTCTACATTTCTATTTAAAGCCGCTTTTTCCATGTACTCCAACAGCAACGTCCACGCCTTGACAAAATCTCCGCCCACTGTCATCGAGTATTTTTCTGCATTAAATACTCGGGCCAGACCATACAATGTAGATACCTTTATTTGAAATATGATACCGAATATACAGAAACAAGAAATCAGTTATTACATATGCAATGATTACAGAAAATCAAAATCAAATATTTGATATAACCTGTGTTTCTGCCCATTGTTTTTGATCAGTATTCCGTGAATGGTGTATTAGAATTGTACCACCACCGGCCGATCCACTTCCACCACTTCCACCACCGCTAACACCTGTACCATCGGTACCTGCAACTGTGTTGCACGTAGAATCACTGGCCGACTCACAGAGTATTTGTACTTTATTCATCAACGGAAACAATACCTACAACAATTATAATATATCACAGATAATAAATAAATATACAAAATATGTAAAACCAATTGAATTTATTACMTGCCACAGGACAGCATTCCACGATGATGGCGTTAACAAATTTGCATGTGCCGAAATCGTTGATAACAAAGTTTGACCAGCCGACTTCCTAACAGCGGGCCTGGGATCTATACAAAGTTCACCTGAAACACGCATCAAAAAAACATGAATAATTTTTCATTTAATATCACAAATGGATAAATTATTATAGTGCATTTGTATATTTCATGTGTGTATACTAACCTAGCTTGGTGAACAAACACATCCACAACTTATCAAACTCAGACATTTCTGCTAGTGTAGTGACACCTGGAAAATCGGGATATACCAATTCTTGTGGATCAGTGATTCCCGATATTGTTGAATCTATTGTGTTACCGCTATCAGTCAATGCTTCACCACCAGCTCCTAGTTGTTTACTGCTATCACCTCCACTATTGTTACAGAGCAGCTTGTCTTTATTATCTTTGAAATAATCAGCAACGTTCCACTGTGCATACATAAGAACAACAATTATTTTGGTAAAAATTTCAAGAGTTGTTTTTGATATAATATATAACATAAAAATATATTTAAAATGTTAAAGCACAATTACATTACCATACACACAAAACCTAAGAACTTTAACACTAATAGCGCTAGTTAAAAAGTACTTAAAATACTTTCTCAAAGTATTTGTATTTAAAATCGAATATTTAATTGCACAATAACTGGTTCGTAATGACTATTTTATAATAATTGCGAGATTAAATAAAAATACTAATTTAATTTAATTTAAAAATAACCCATTTTATACCGTATGATTCAATTGAACTTGCTATCACTAATTTAAGATATGACATAATAATAAGATTATCTGGCTAATATCGATTTTATCCAAATGTTAACAATTACCGTAACATATGTACTTGAATAACTCAGTGATTTAAATTACAAATTACTTAAATAATTTACAAAATAAACATCTTATAAATAATATTCATTAATCATTAGGTATTTAAAGTGTGCTCTCTACCCGGATGAAATGTATAATAATATACACTATCTGAAAGACTTAATCAGTCTAAAACAAATAACTAATAAGTGCCTTCCCCTCTCCTCGTCAACTGTGTAAGTACATTGGATGGTAATGTATGTCGTATTTATATAGAAATGAAATCTGCGGGTTACTAGTAATATTATTATTTATTTGACCTTTGAAGATATAAATATTAACATAAAAAAATTAAATTAAATTAATTTTTTTTTAAAACTTTTTAAAAACTTTTCTAAAAAAAACATTTAAAAAAAATTATATTTAAAAAAAATAATGAAAAATTTACTGATTTAAAAGTGTGTGGTGCATTATACAAAACATTTTAAGTCTCACATACACTTCTTTGTTCAATCCTGTTTAGTGACTAGGAGTATATGTCAAGTGTAAGAGCACCACACACTTTCACATTTTTCATCAGTAAATTTTTCATTATTTTTTTAAATATATATTTTTTTAAATGTTTTTTTTGAAGTGTTTTAAAAAAAATTTATTTTTATTTTTTATTTTCTACTTTTTAGTTAAAAGTAAATTTTTTTATTAAACGTTTAAAAAATATTTATGAAACAAATTTCTTATATTTAATAAAAATAATTTTTTAATTTTTAATTTTTAATTTTTTAATCGACGATCAGCGGCGGTGATACGAGCGCGTGATACTTCCTCGGAGATGACTTTGCATACCCGTCATCGCCTACCTGGAGGTCCGTGTCCCAAAATGACACCGGATTATTGTATTGTCATCCAAGACCAAGGGCTATACCAATTTTCAGAATTTTTCATCGTCAAAAAGTGCCTCAAATCGAACGTGCAAGATTTGATTACAGACAAACAGACGTGAAAGCGACCTTAAGAAAAGTGTGTAATAACTTAAGATACCTTTTTCTAGTACCTATCTAAACGTGAGCATCATAAAATATGTAAGATTTTTTATCATTCAGTATCAATACTCAATATTGTCTAAAAACTTATTTTAAAGGCTTTATTCCCATTAAAACTTTATTTGAAAAACTCAACACATAATTTTAAATACTCAGTGATTTTAAAACTAATTAACATGTGGTTTTTAAAGTAAAAATAATAATTACCATTAATCCTAATGCTGTCAAAGATATGTTCAAATCACGTGTTTGCATTCCAAATTTTGCTGTGGTTTCCAGGCACAAAGGTAAGCATTTACATGGCATCAAAGGCAAAAAATCAGTGAGTATCAGTTCCAAACACTGAAATGCTATCCTTATCAGGTTCTCTCTAAACAATCAATACAGTTTAATAACAATTAACAAAAACAACAATACATTGTAATAATTGTAAATATATAGTACAATATTTTAACAACAAAATATTACCCATGCCGGTCTGATACAGCACCAACTATGTTTAACACTAATGGCCAACCATGGGACAATGTCTGTCCTGATCCGTGTAGTACTTGCAATACACATTCCAATTGTCGTTGCCTGACATCACTATTCATATTTAATGACAATTGAGATAGTGGGCTCAGCAACAATGTCTGTAGTTTCTATTATTAAAATGTGTATCAATCAATATTAATTTTAACAACATGAACTGCATAGTAAAGACATTATTTTTTATTTTTTAAATTTAATATTGTAATCGGTACAGAGAAACATTTGTTTTTAAAAATAATTTGCACTAATTTCAAACAAAAATATAATATAGAAAAGGGGGAAATGTAATTAATTTCATAGTTCATACACCAAGTTTTAATATGAAATAGTGATAAAGTCTATCCTTTTATCTCCATAACATAATTTATGTACCAATGAATGAGAGATAATTTAGCTAATTTAGTGGTAAACCATCAATACTAAACTGACTTGATTATCTTTCAGTGGAGGCTGATATTTGTACTGTAGAGCTGCTTTCACCAGGTATGTTATAGCTTCAACACCCCATTCACGCATTCTAATGTGTGGATGCTGACACACATCCAATAAGTGATTGGTCACAGGTCTCCACAGTATATCTATACGTGAAAGATTAACTAATCCAGTTTCTAAAAGTTTAGCAACAGCGAACAGTGATGGTTCCTGTAGATATACACAGAAATTAATTAATGCACACACATAAATCATAGTTGCTATGTCATGTTAAGATTAAAGTTTACTCGATTGCAGTAGGCCAATTCCATAGCTTCATGAGAAAGCTTGCACAGTGCATCTATTAGATGATGAAGAGCAACATCATCCAGATATCGACTGGACTCAAAAAGTCGACTAAGCATCGTTGAAAGTACAGGCAGGTCAGCTGCCATGACTGCTGTAGTTATGACAGCAACATTTGATGATGACAAAGTAGTTGATACTGAAGAAGAGGATGATGACAATGAGCCAATTCCCGAACTATCTGTAGCAGTGGAAGAAGTGTTGACAGCTGAGTGTCTATTAGGTACTGATGTGGCAGTACTATTTCCTGCTTTGAGACTACCGCCTGTTGATGGTTTCAAACCCAATATCCAGACAAGGTGCTGCAAAAAATATTTCAACTTTTTAATTTTATCCATAATTAATACTTATCTATTATATAACCAATAGAATCACTGATTACAAATAAAAAGAGTCATCATAATATATTTATATATTTGATAACTATTTTTTATTGATAATTTTATAACATACTAGTTGATACTTGTGTACTTCATAACCCGTTAAAAACACCAAATCTATATAATTCAAAATGTCAGTTTAATTTTTTATTTAATACCTGGTGTGGCTAGTGGTATTCAAAACTTAATAAAAATATAATAATATGTAATATAAATATAATATAAAATATATTAAATAACATAAAATATATAGTGATCATATATTTTGATATTTAAACCACGGATATACAATATACATAGATATATATGTTACCGGCAATATGTGTAATTCCATCATTACAAATAATGCTTAGGTATTTTATAAAATTTATTAAAATGACTGAAATTACCAGGCGAATTATATAATACACATATTTCCTAGTTTTTATATATAATGCCCAATCATAATTAGATAATAACTAATAATACTATGTTCTCGGTTAGATTAGAAATACCTACAGATATTGACAAAGATAACCGATAGTTAATGAATTAATCGTTCTCGTTATATTAGCCTGTAATACGTTTCAATTGTCGGTTATTCGGTATTTAATCTTGTCTTCAAAATTTCAAATTATTTTCAGTACGGCAGTACAGTTAATAATGTAGGTATACGCGTAAAGTGTTCAGTATATAACTACAGGTTATTATTAAATTAATATCATTGTTTAATAATATTATATAATAATACAATATTTCATAATGGAACAGTTTTATGCAGAATTAAATGTACGAAAGGCAAATATAGGTAAAAATAACACTTTATTATCTGATAAATGATACAACGAGTTGGTAAAGGAAGTTTTAATGCTGAGATGTTTGAAAACAAAAAAAATCCTCGTGATTTTTAGTTGCAAAAAAGGTCAGTAAATACCCAAGTGTTAATTTATTTATTTTATACTATAGTTGGAGTGATATGTTTAAAATATAATTTTTTAAACATTACAAAATTTTTCGAGATTTAGAATATTTTGATAATAATCAATAATTAACTATTATTAATGTTCTTAAATAAAATACAACTTCAATTCTAATTTAGATATGATATTGGTAGTACAAGACAACTAGAAACTAATTTTTCCTGTCAACGAAAATGAAAATATCCTGTATTATATTCGTGAAAGCAAGTTGTATAATGCATTAAAAAATACTCACTCTTATATTGGCCACAGTGGACGAAATCGTATGATTAAAGAACTTTCTAATAAGTATAAAAATATAGTTCAAAGTGTAATAGAATTATTTTTGAGCTTATTTGAACCTTGCCAACAAAAGCAAAATGGAATTAAAAAAGGTATAGTTGTTGAGACAATGGTTTTTAACGAATTTAATGCACGATGCTAAGTGKATCTTATTGATTTCCAATTGCACCCTGCCGGTAAATATCGATTTATAATGGTCTATCAGGACCACCTGACAAAATTTGTCAAATTGAAACCTTTAGAATTCAAACAAGCTAAATTAGTTGCTTATAATATCATTGATATTTTTTCACTAATTGGAGCCCCTAGTGTTTTACAATCAGATAATGGTAGAGCATTTGCTAATCAAATTGTTTCAAGCCTCAAAGATCTTTGGCCAGAACTTAAAATAGTATATGGCAAGCCCAGACATAGCCAGAGCCAGGGTAGTGTGGAACGTGCCAACCAAGACATAGAAAATATAATGACTACATGGATGTAAGAACAAAATACTTCACAATGGAGTCAAGGTCTCCATTTCATTTATTTAATAAAGAATAGAGCTTATCATTCAGGTATCAAAACTACTCCCTCTATGAAGCATTATTTGGATGTAAAATTAAAATTGGATGAAATACGTCAAATTTACCTGAAGAAGTCGTAGACAATATTAAAACAGAATAAGATTTAACAGCAATTACAGAAAGTGAAACAACTACAAATGCTAAAACTATAAATATTATTGAATTAGAAGATTTAAATACAAAAATTAAAACAAATCAAGAAAATGCTCTTAACTTACGAAAAAAATGCAATAAAAAATTTAGAAATTCAGGCTGATAAAATGAGAAAACTATCAGACAAAAAACTTCTTGCAGTTGAGATTGGTTCAAAAGTTCGGATTCCAGTACCAGATGTCGATAGAGGCCGTTTAGATGCTCGAAACATATATTGCCGGCAACATATACTTCTACTACTACAACTACTACTCTTGAGTACTACAGGCCATGATGATCTTTGGCTTCTAAAACAATTCTTCTCCAATCTTCCCGGTCTTTAGTTGCATTTCTCCAATTCTTCTAGATCATCCTTGTCTTCTTGTTCTTCCCATTCTTGCATGCGTTATTCGTTTAGACATTCTTTCCTCGTCCATTCTTTGTACAAGACCTAACTATCTTATTCTTACTGCTCTAATGAATCTTACTATATTTTGTTTTTCTAAGATTTATTTTATTTCATTTTTATTTCTTATTAACCAACTCCTTCTTCAAACACAGCGCCATATATGTTTCATATCACTTTTCTTTCAAATGTTTTTAATTTTTTGGTATCCGCATTTAACAATGTCCAAGCTTCGGATCTGTAGCACAATACCAGCCTTATAAGAGTTTTATACAACTTCATCTTTGTGGCTTTCAATAAAAGCTTTAATCTAAAGAGTGAGATATTGGAAAAGTATGTGTGATTGCTAGCCATAATTCTTCAGGAATGTTATTACTATTATTGAGTGCAGAACCAAGATATACAAAACTCTTAACAGCTTCAAAGTTATTCTCACTTATTGTAATATTTTGTACCTACTCTTCGGTCTTCACCATGCTTCCACTGCAGATAGTTTTGATGTATTTAGTTTTATCTGGAAATGTCTAATCCCACAAACTTTCAAAAGTGCTTCTAAATCTGATGTATATAGATGTTGAATTTTATACTTTATATTTCAAAATGAAAATAAATAAACAGCTGCGGCTGCACACAAAATGGAAAATAAAAACTTTTATCGGCTGTTTAGAAGAGTGACAGAGAGAGCTATATAAACATTATATGTTAGAAAGAAACGGATGCCTTCAGCTCCAATGTTAAGATTCATTCTTATAATATAGATTACTGTATAAAATGAATAAAAGTATAGAAATAAATGATTTGATACCTGCAATGTAGTTAACACCAAATGCCACGATGAACCCAAGATGGAACCATGGCAATGGGCTAATACTAAGAGAGCACGCATGCACTGCAGATTTTTGGCGGTTAGCATAACAGGCCCATGGTTCTGAAGTGAGGTACCTAAAAATCACAATTTTTATCAAAATATAACTCAATAATATAAATGTAATTAAGAAGTAATATATGGTATGTAAACGTAAGTATAGTCTTACCCGAAGGTGACGAGTTCTGCAAAACTGACGAAGGAGTAGCTAGTGGAGTACCTACGGCTACTATGACCTGCTGTTGTTGCTTGTAATCAGTTGATTCTGGGCCATATCCTCCTCCAGTAGCACTATATTGTTGGTGATGGTGGTCATCATACATTGTTGAGGAAGTGGTATACTGCATGGTTGGTGACGACGAAGATATTGATGGTTGACCTACACAACAAGTATTGACAGTCCCGCTTAATACTGTCAGGTTATAATGCGGTGGTAAGCATGCACGACACACAGCTGTAATGAAGGCATCTCGTGGCCCTCGCATATCCAACAGACCACATAGGCCAATATATGCTTGCATTGCTTTCAACATGTTTTCTGTGATTCCTTCGTCAGTACTACAACAGAATAAAACATATCAGACAATCATTCAGACATACACAATAATGCATGATTAAACTACTTAATAACAATCATAGAGGAGAATCAATACACACCAGGATTCAATTAGAGGGCAAAACGTTGTTAGTAGTCCATACCAGCTACTGTTTATTATTTGTTCATGTAAAGGAGATCTCTTAACTCCTGTTGATTGCTTTTGTTCTTCATTGCCATTATCATCTTCTTCTGAGGCGTTCTTTTGGTAAACACTGTCAGTATGACATTGGTGACCAAGGCCATCATCACCTACACTAGGTGATACTGCTGTGGTGGAAGGTGGAGACACGACTGATTGATGTATATCAGGATGCACTTCAATTTGAATAGCACGAACAGCATCTACTAGGCATGCATACGCCACAGACACACCATACCCATCAGCAACTTGTGGAGGTTCATCGTGTTTATCATTCATTTCTAGGCTATTAAATTAATAAACAATTCATTTTAATAAGTTATTAAACACAATTTTACAATAATGACTGAAAATTGGAAGACAAATTGTACAGAATCYATTCAAATATCATCTTATTCAGGGCTTGGCGACTTTCTATTATTAATTACAAAACCTATTAAAATTGACCAAAACTAATTTCAATAAACATGAATTTTAAAAATTCTGGTGTCGGTGACTATATTGTAGAACATATAAATATTAAAATAAAATGTATATTTATCAATATTAATATTTTAGATATGTAAAATAAATTTATTACAATTATTTGATTGTTATATATATATTAACTGAATAACTCAACTTCAAATATAATATGTAGTTTATATGTATTATAACTTATTTTTTATCAGTATTATTTATTTTTAGATTAAATCCAGAGATTTCCTTTAGATCATTGCCATTATTAATATTGTAAATATTCTTTAAATTGCCTTGATTTAATAAAAATAATAGTACTATTCTAAAAATCTATAACTTTATAAAGTACAAAGTTGGAATTATCTACCCAAGAAATCAATGGCGAACATTTAAAAAAAAATCAACTTCCAGTTAGAATCTTAAAATCTTTGTTTAAAGACCTTTTTAAAATGCAAATTTTGGAAAATTCTTCCTTATTGTGTTTCAAATCATAAAACAAAATTATTGAACAAATTGCATGCACATAGCTTCAGCAACTCGACTCATCGATAATGAATCAGCCAGGACAATTAGTTTGATAACTTTGTTCAAATATTCATAAAATTTAAATTCTATTTTTAAAACACGTACAAAGTAATGAAGTATGGTGCCGTGTACAGTTCAAAAACTCGACTGGTTAGTCGAAAATATCAATTATTGTTCATAATATATTGTTGACTAATTTTATCAAGACAGGTTTTAATTTTAGTATTCCGATATGGCCATATCCATATGAGAATTATTTTGATTTTTAAATAGGCAGTATGAAGAGAACAAAATCAAGTTTACAGAGTGTGATTCTAAAATTTTGTAGTTTATTGTAAAATTTAATTTCATTGGATTTATTATAAATTACTTAAATTATTTAACAATTATTATAATTTTTTTTAAATATTCCTTATATAATAATATTTAATAAAATTTTAATAATACTATACTTTAAAATAGTATTAACTGTTATAGATGATAATGAAATAATAATTTATTGTAAAAATAATATTAGTTGGTACAAAAACATTTTGGATCACATTGCCCGTAACATATAAATATATATTATACATGAGTACTGAAGTACAAAATATAAATTGTCCAGATTATCTGGATTAGCGAGACTCTACTGTATTTTAAATAACTTTTCATACAACTTAAATTTAATATGAATTTCATGATTATAATATATTATCATATTTAATTATGAATTCTTGGATGCCCACCCGAATGTTTGGCAACAAAATTCAATACGGTCCATTAGCTTCTTAGAAAAAAAAAAAATAACAAAAAGTGGAAGCAGGTATACAGTGATAGACTTCAGTAAAAGAAATTTAGTTAGTTTTTGGTAAATTAATTTTTAAGTCATCACAATACTATAATGCTAAATTTGTTAGTATTATTGTTGAGAGGTTAGAAATTAGTTTATTTGAGTAAGACCGTGGTTTCCTGTGAAAATGTATGTTAAGATATAATTAAATGAGTTATTTAAAAAATATAAACTCTTTATGAAATTTAATTAAAGTAAGTTAACTTTTTAAATCATTATATCTTAGCCTTGATGTTATGCATAAGTAAATTATATACGCTACTTACTAAATGGATTTAGCTTGCCCAGTTGGTAATTGGATCACTACTGGTAGCCATACACCACCACGACCAAAAAACCCCGGTTGTGGTGACACACCAGGCCCGACTGGCATGCCAGCCAATACAGCTGGCGACTGTCCTTGGAGTGCTGCGTTTGCAGTTGCTGCTAATACATACAATTGTATTTGATATTATTATCTGTATTGTATGAATAATTTTCAGTACACAAAATTACAAGTACATACCCATCATTGCAGCATTGTTCATGGAGCCACCACCAGACACAATCATAGCAGGATTAAATAATGATTGCACATATCCCGCTAGTGAGTCAATTATGTCTCTAAATATCTTAGTACTATGTAACTTAAGATCATAGCAAGCACAAAATGCAGCTAACAGACCAGGTTCAACTACTAGGCGATGTAACACCTCTAAAGCAACAGATCTTTGCCATGCAGGTTTGTCAGCATCCAAAAACTTGACGATCAATGACAAAAATATCTCACATTCGGTTATCTAGAGAAAATAAAAAATTAATAAATTTTTTTATTTATTTTGATAAATTACACAGTCATCATTACCATTGTTAAAAATGCAAATTCAATATTTGTAAAATATTTCTACAATATTGCTAATGAACTACATACATACCAGTAGTTTATGATATTTGCGAACTAGTATAGAGACAAGACGCAACAGTCGTACTGTAATAGCATAATGTGGTCTATCATCTCCACGGTGATTAGAAGTAGGACTACCAGCACCACCAGTAACACCCATCATCATAACTGATGAGCTATTATTGCCAGGAACAGTTGCACCACCAGTTCCCGTATTGGTAATTGTGTTTCTCCTAACAGAGCTATTGCCACTATGGTGTTTGACATTGGGAGAAAATAACTTGATGACTAATGCGCAAACACGCTCTTTCAATAGGTACCTAAACTCCATGTGCTAAAAAAGAATATTGGTAAATATATTATATACTTAAAATTAGGCAATTTAACCCATTAAGAGGATGCCACACACACATTTAATGTCTCTATCTTATAAGTACATAACATTGTTAATTTACACACTCATCGGTTCACGTTTAGCTTTAGCATTATAAAAATTAAAAGAGAATATTATGAAACTTTAAGGTAAAAATAATTTTCTGTTTTGTATGTTTTTTTTTTTTTTTACAATAATTCAGTTTTAAAATGAAGTATGACATTTTTTAAATTGCGGTATTTTTTATATGCAAAACTTACTATAAAATTGAACTATTGTAAAAAAAACACTAATAACGTTCTTACCAATAATAATGTTAACTTTAATTTTAATTATACAGTGGACACCGCTTATAGTGATCACATTTGTTCAAGAGTACTTTGATCAATATAATCGGAAATCACTATAAGCTCAAAAAACAGATAGAAAATAACGTAAAAACATTTAAATATTAAAATTATATTTATGTAGCATTAATTATTTTTATTTTTTATAATTTTAACATTTTTATTTTTTATACTATACATACAGTGCACTAAATAACAGACGAAAATAAACTGGTATAAAGTGTAAAATATCGGTGCTTGTGAGAACAAAGATGGGTTCAAATATATACGAATGTATCATATTATAAAGTATCGCTCATTACGTGGGTTACATTAGATAAGATTAGCTCAATTAAAGTTCACGATTAAGATAATTGTCATTTGTTATTGTTTTCCCTGTACACAAAAAGAGATGATATTATTGTAAATTATATTTATATTTTATATTTCTGATCACAATAACCAAAAACCTGAATACTGTTGGCGACGAAAAATGCACTTTTAAGGGCTGTTTGTTCTGCTCCTGGCATTTTTTATCACTATGAGTGGTCCAATTCTTATAACCAGTGAACACTATAAGTGACCACTGTAGTAATATTTTCTAATCTAAAACTGACTAAGCTAAACATGAATGTACACTGAATACATTTGCTATGTTATATACTTGTAAGACTCTAAGATATAAAATATACTATTATATTAATTACTTTAGCTTAAATTTAAAATTAACTGTACCTAGTTAATTTGTTTATATTAGATGAAAATTACTAGAATCATGTTAAAATAATTACAATTCTAAAGAATATAATATAAATTTAGTTAAGGTAGAACTTTTGAAATATATCCTTTAATATGTATTATTCATAAAATTTTTTAAACTTTTAAGTTACTAGTCCAGTTGGGTGATATCTATACTGATTACAGATTACTTAGTTAATATACCAACTGACTATTGCTGATATTCTGTTTTATATATTTGCCTTAATCAACTTAATCACTTATATGTGAGAACTTTTTACATATTTTAAAACATGATTTCTCCAATTCCAAATTATTGATATATTGTGTTTAATTAATATAGAATAATTCTTATGCACTGAATGCACCTACGTATCAGTAAATTTTAATCTAGGCAAGGCATGTTTAAATTAGACTTCATATTTACACAAGATTAAAACTTACATGAAAGAAATCATAAAAAAAAAAAAAAACAATAAAATACTTCGAGTATTTATCTGTTTAATTTAATTATAGGCATCACAATCGTAATTTAGGCAACCACAGTTAGATACTCGCTATTACATATTACTTTTACTATACTAATGCATAATATTATTCAGTATTTATTGATAAGCATAATTTAGAGATAATTGTATTAGAATAGAATTGTTTAGATAATCTGTAAGATGACTCTTGTCCAAACAGTATAAAGCAGCTGACATAATTAATTTGAAATGTACACAACAAATAATTACTTTATAGAACACAGGCTGAAAATCAGAAAGCAAAGATTCCAGTAGTTCCAGACCAAATGTCCTGGTCATTTCTGTCATGCCCACCAACCAATATGGACGATCAGTGTTCACCAATCGCACAAGGTCCTAAAGAAATATAGAATAAAGTATGCGTTAGATACACGGATAAAGTAATAAGTATATAGAGAGTAGTAGATATAGTAGCTAAAAATAACGGATCATAATTATTATAAAATTAAAATATACCTGAAACATATGATATGCATCTGCTGCACACGGGCCCAATGAAGACACAGCAGAAACAGGTTCATAGCCACTTGCATTGCTACCATTATACTGATGATGGTGGTGAAGTTGTGGCAATGGTTGAGTTCTACTACTTTGCTGTTGCCTGTGATCTTGCAAAGGAACAGATGAATCTACACCATTTCTTTGCTGCTGTGAATCATACCCATTATCATCATTATTGCAGTCTTTAAGTTGCTGTTCGTGCTGCTCATCTTCTTGCATAACACGTTCAAATACTAGAGCTACAAGCTGACGCACAGTAGCGCCTGCCGTGTTGATGACGGCTTGCGAGTCTTTGGTAAAATGCAGTCGAAAACATAACACTAAATTCTGTAATGCATATACATCATGACAATAATTAGATGACAACAATCATAATTTATTACAATCTTAACCACATTATGATTACCCTAGCTAGAGTTTCGCCGCGCACCACGCAGTCGGTGGTCAATAGTAATGTGACACTCTGCAATACTTTTACATGCTCAGTCCCTGACTCCATCAACATCCACAAGGTATCGGTTATGTAACGGGCACCTTTTTGGTCAACTGCTCGATGTGTGATTAGCTTCTGTATGGTTCCCAGACACATCTATATTGTATTGAAATAATAAGAGAAACAAAGTACAATATTAAAATTGAAACAATTGATAAGATTATTGTAGGTACGTTCCTTATTAAAATGACGCTACATATCCATTTGTTATCTCTGTCTTACAAGTATATAACATTGCAAATTAATACTCAACAGATCACGTCTAGTTTTGTTAGTTTAAAAATTAGAATGAACTAACCTATTTTAAAACTTTATGTTAAGAACATTATCTGTGTTTGTATGTGGATATTTTGATATTTCAATTTTGTAGCAAGTTATGAGTAAATAAACAGCGTAAATTAAAAATTCTCATAACTCATTTAAAAACTAAGTTATCGTAAAAAACCCACAAAAAACACACATAATGCTCTAACCATAAAGTTTCATGATAGGTAAATTTACTCTAGTTTTTAAACCAATAGAGATAACATGATCTGCTAATCATAAATCTGTTGTAATGCACTTGTAAAATAGAAGTATAACAAAACATAAGAAATAACCACCCAGCCACAACAAATGTTTAACTATTAACATTGTTACTATTATCCTGTTAAAATATTACTAAGTATTATACTGTATTATTCGCATACAAAAAATTACATAGACAACCAACCCCACGCACCTTTTATTAAATGTGTAGCAAGTGCTACACCACTACTCTAGTTAACCAACGTGTTTACTGTACAGACCTTAACGATTTTTGGTTCTTTGGTCTCACACCCTTGTACAACAGGATATAGTATTTGATTGACGACATAATAGATCTGATGATGGTTATGGTGTGACTGTTGCTGTTGTTGTAAGTGATCGGCAGCAACAGCCGCTGAGTTTCTCAACTTGACAATGGCCTCTTCAGACGCCTGTACAAAGACATCATAACAAAAATATCATTACAATGTTGAAATTAGACAGTTACAATTAGAAACGACTGCAACATGAGCGTAGGTACACACAAACGCTTAAGTAAAACGAACGTACTCACCTCTTTGATCTGAGGATATTTCTTCTTCGTCTCCATGGACAAACACTTGAAGTCGTTCTGCAGCGATTCAAGTAGCCTGATGGCGTTTTCATTATCGGTGACTGACGACGACGACAACGAGGGTGACGACGTGCCGCCGGTCGGATGCCGGTGAGCCATGACGGTCGGTGGCCGTACGAGGCCGACCGTTCACTCCCTTCAAACCTGACCAATCTAACCTTTGCCAACACCGTGCACGAATTTCTCGGTCGTTCTCTCAGCCGTCGAGGGGGACCGCCAACTGCCGATCGGCCTGGGTAGTCCAAGTAGTCGACGGCGCGAGACACGACAGTGGCACTCGTCTACACAGCCGACCCACTGTCTGAGCACAGCGTAAACGCGAACGTCGAGCTCCCGCAAGATAAACAAGACAAAGTGTCGTCAAATGTCGGACGCAGTTATAGGTATTACGGTCGTCTCGCCGAGAGTTGATCTCCGTTCATTGACAACGGCGCCTGCGATCGACGATAACGATGATAGAATAGAAAAAAAAATATGAAATCGCTGTAATCTGCAGTAGTTGACGTTGTCGACGTCTTATCGTCGTTGTCGTCGTCGTCCACCGTAACTTACTGTGGTCAACTGTCGCTGTAGCAACCGTGCACTGCGGTGCGCACTGATAGTGGACTGTGGTAGTAGTAGTAGTAGCCATGGGTGACCTGATAACAAATTCAAAGATAATAATATCCAAATAAGTAATCACGAATAATGAATAATAACATTGATTATAAATTGTATTTATTATTATTTGTTTAGATCTGATTTATAATACGCATTTAAAATTTTAAAATATTAACTTAAAAGTTTCAGACATGTACTGATGTACTTAAAAAGCATAAAATGTGCAAAATAATTTTTGATTATTACCTACAGCTATTAATTTATTGTAAAGTTATAACATCAAAATGGAAAAAAAAAAACTACAATATTATAAATTATGATACTATGATGATAAAAATGTATTAAGATGAAAAAATATATAATTTATTGGTTATTTGAAAAATAATAAGTTGCAATAATATTATGTTCCATATTGATCTCAGTTAAATTCACGCATATAGATAGTTAATATTTAGTATAATATAGGTATGCATATATACCTATTACCTATTCTATATCCATGGTTAAATTATGAAGGAGGTTTGTGGCAATATATATTTTGTATGCAGAAAAACTTGGTTCCACATAAACGCTTGTTATGGGTACATATTTAAAACTTGACATTTCCAAGGAGCAGTGTTTGATAAAAGAACTCTTCAAGTCATCATTCTTACCTTAGTGTATTATAGAGATTTCTTTTAAGCAACCCTTTATTTTTATTAATAAATTCAGAAATTTTTTTWAAATTAAAACACTATTTTAATTTTCAGAAAGATTATAATAATAGGATTTTTAACTTGTTCAACAATTTCTAAGTGTCTATATGTATTACAATCTTGAAGTTTCAAGCTTTTTAATATTGTCAACAATAACCAACAAATTTAAGTTAAATCATTAATTATATTTTTTTTTATTTAAAATTTGTTTAAAATTTTCAAAATTATCTGCATACAATATTTCCAATTCTAAACAAGCACCCTACCATGTTATATTATATTAGATATACATATAGTAATAGAGAACTAGGTATAATAAATAATAATAATCTTTAAGTATGGATACATAATATTATATTTTTAAAAATATTTTMAATATTTGGGTTTTGAACAAATTTATATACCTAGGTATTATAGTTCTATAAAAAATTATAAAATTAAATTAAAACATTTATATGTAGGTGTACGTATTATGCAAAACCATACATTTTTTGAAAATATGTATTTGTACACAAAATTTGTAAAAATATGCCAAATAAAATTTGAAATATTATTTATTAAAGTACGATTAATGAAAATCCATTTACTACATACAGGGGCTCACACAGGGTTGGAGGTCAGAAGGACCCTGCATGGTAGGTACTGGGACATGTAACTCTTCAAGTCTTAGATTAACAACAAATACATGCGAATCATTTCACTCGTATTTTAATAAATATTTCAATATAAAATCACACTATATCATGCCATCGTTGAATATTATTCTTCAAGTTCAAGTCGAAATTTATGTTAAAATTAATAGTACACAAGTTTTAAAAATGTCGAAGGAATACAAGTGACAAGAAATAAATCAATTCAAAATTACAAAATACAAATCTGGTTAACTCACACGATACAAATTTATTATATCCATGTGCAATGTGCCATAATTTTGACAAATAATTGTTTTTGATATTATACTATTACCGGGCAAAAACATGTATGGCCGTTTATACAAATAATTACTTCAATATATATTAGAAAAAAGTTTAAAAATGAATTGTTATTTAAAAGGGGGCCTAGATATAGTTTTGTATCAGTGCCAAAAATATGATGTGGGGGGAGGGGGGGGGGTTGACTACATTTAATTGTTTATAAAAATATGAACATACATTACATGCAAATTCCTGCCTTTAATTATAATTTATAAGACATAGGTATAAAAGAACAAAAGTATCATTGATCTCTTAGAGATCATCTCAACATAAATATATGTTTTATACAATATTCTATTCATAGTTACCTCATACTTATTTAGCTATTACTTAGGTGCCTATATATACTTAACTGTTATTGAAAAATATTATGCTATGTGGGTACTTTTTATTTTAAATTTTAATAGCCAGGTACCTAGGAAATAATATCACGAAATAGGTACCTATAGAAAAAAAATTATAATAATAACTATAATCTACCTAACTTTCCACCTTGGTTCTTATTTAATTTTGAAAAGTGGTAGCATAATATTGTTTCTTTAGATATTAATCTATAAAAACATACACAAATTAAATTGACTTATTGGGGAATGAGGACAATAGGCTATAAATATTTAATAATTTAAATCTTATACTTAATACTTTGAAGTAACTCTTATCTTATCATTTAGGTAGGTACCTATTTAGTGTTTTAGACATTTTAGTATTATAATAAATTTATGTCGTAACTTTTAATTCTCATAGGTACCGTTATAGTAGGTATTATTACGCTGATTTGTAAAACAGCAATATGAATGATTGGTTTCTTAAAACGTAATTTATTATAATTCGTGCGATGTAATAACCTCACTAGTTGTAAAACATATTATTCTTTAAAATGGCTCATTACGTTTATTAGTTTGAACTCGATTCAATAATATAGGTACCTTTCTTTTTTTTTTTTTTGCCTTTTATTAAAAAATAATTATAGCAAAGCAATTATAAAATAATTATGCATCAAAAAAGAAAACAGACAAAAAAAATTAACAGACAATGTAATTAAATATTAGCGTTAAATGAGGAAGCCAGTGGTATGAATGAATTGGATAAGAGAATGGATTATAGGGATGTAACGGGAGTTGAGAAGAAGATTAGAATCGGGAGAAATTTAGTCTAAAGAAGAAAGAAAAGAGAAAAGGAGTTGTCTACAAGTTATGAGAGAAGGGCAATTGAAAAGGATGTGATCAAGATCGCATATCGATTCGTCGTGATGTAGTGTACAAAGAGGGGAAGAGTTTAGATTAAGTTTAGAAGAATGGTGAGGAAGTAAGCTATGACCAATGCGAAGACGAGTGAAGGATACGATTAGGTGTCTAGAAATCTCGAGATCTTTAAACCAAGGAAGGTACCTACCTAGTATTTTTTAGTAGCTACTACCTACTTAATAATAATAATAATAATAATAATAATCTTTATTTACAGAATTCAATTAAAATTACAATGTTAATAAGACAGTGCAAAAAATTGAAGGTAATAAAGCTAATTTATAAACATTTAACATACCTACTACCTATAATAGTCTATAGGTGTATAATAAATAAATACTCTGCTAGAACTTAGGTGGCTAGATACTAGATGTCTAGAATAGGTAGTTGTAAATTTAATTATAGTATAAATAGTATAATATAAGCAGGGACTGGAACCTTAAGACTTTTCGGTTCTTAAAAATAAAAAATAATTGGTTCCGGTTCCGAATTACGGTTCTTAAAATTACAAAATAAGGATTCCGGTTAATTCCGGTACTTATCGGTTCTAAAAAATGCAAATTTCTAAACATTACCTATTTTTGATTAGGTGATTTTTTTTTTTAATAACAAACCTAGGTTGGTATCTAATTATTATAAGTAATAACTCTTAACTTTCATACAAATTTATAATTTAAATATTGTAAAATAGCCATTTTACCAACAGTCAAAAAATATCAAATTACAGTATGACAATACGAAAAATATCAAATAAGTTGTTAATTATTCGTATGTTACCTATATATGTGAATGTGTACATGACTGTGTTTGTGTGCAAGACTATGTGATGGAGTTATAAAAAACTATATAAATATTATTCATAGGTATTTTATAAACATTAGTAGAAAAACCCATAATATTGTTGTTCGACTATCCACGCTTTATTGCTCATTATAATGAAAAATACAACCCGCATAATATGTGTAAATTAATCATAGTCTGTTATATTATAATACTATTATTTCGAGTTAAAAAATTTAAAATACTATAGATGTACAAAACAAAAATATTTCTACAAAAAATAATTATTTGATTGTAACAAAATCAATTTAAATAAAATGTTCAGTCATTTGAAATATCGGGCTTTTTCTTAGAACCGATAAAAACCCAAAAGAACCGAAAAACTTATTATTTATTAATATAGGGTTCCGATTCTAATACGGTTCTAAGTATTTTAAAATATCGGTTCYAAATAAGGTTCCGGTTCTTAGATTTTCTCCAAGAACCGGTTCCAGTCCCTGAATATAAGTACATATTTTTATAGCAAATAAGTAAACAATTAGGTATTAATTATTATGCCAGAAATGAATTAATTAAATTGTATAAATAAAATATATTTGAAATAAAATGAATACCTAATTGTTAGATACTAATCTGGTCATATTATTACCCACGCGTATAGATCGAAAATATGAAAATCAGTTTTCTCCTTAATATTTGATGGGTTGCAAATAAGGATAAATTGATAACTCATCAATTAGGTATATTAGGTAAAGAACTAAATGCTTTTAGGTGCCAGGTGGGTGATGCCCGTTTCCATAAAAAGTGTACCTTTCCCCTTTCCACCAAAAGTGTATGTTTCCCTTTTCCTCCAATATCCGTTTTCACCAAATAAAATTATTTACCACGTTTTTAAAAAAACAATTGCATACTACTATATACTACGATTGAAAATAATATATCAACCAATTATATAATATATGAGTAGATACAATATATACATAGCTAAATACACTAATTATCATTTTTTTTCAATCCAGCATTAGTATTTTAAGTAAACTTATTACTGTATTAAAGATTTTAATATAAGCGTAGTATATAATTATTTTGGTAAATTAACCGTGGTTAAATTAGGTATATCTCATTTGGTGGTAACGGATATTGGTGGAAAAGGGAAAGGTCTACTTTTGGTGGTAACGTGTTACGCTCTTATAGGTATTTCCAATCCCTCACAGATAACCGGTTCAATAACTAAATGATGGCATTATTTTCTTATATACACTATTAAATAAT